GCAGCGCTCAGGTCTCTCCGGGCTGCAAAACCACAAAAAAAAAGGGGAGTTTGGTTAAATGGCTTTTGGGTTTTCCCCGGCCGCCACCTCCGGGCACGGCCCCAAACACCGCGGTTCTTCATCCTGCAGGGAAATCCAGAGCTTGGGACTTTTTGCACCAGGAACGAGGGAATTAAAGGAGTCTCCGGAGAGCGGAGTGAGCGGGCAGAGCCCGTTTAAGGCTTCTGATCCTTCTTAATTCCCCGCAGTGCCTGGGCTTCGCCGCGCAGGAAAGCAGAACAGCAATAAACCCCCGGCAACACGTGCCCCGTTCCAAAACTTGCCCTGATTTTCTTCCAGTATAATTAGTTTGGGGTGTTGCTTTTAATGGAGTAATTATCCTGGAAGGAAACCAGGTGCCCCAGCAGCTCTGGTGAGGATGTGCCAGTCTGCTGCCCCGTAGCGAAGGCAGAGCCCAAGTTACGTCTCCTGAATTTTGCCGACCTCTTGTGTCCACAGTGATCAAAGCAGAATGATGAGAAACCTCAAAAAAAAAACCCCACAGAAAAAAAACACCCAACACCCAAACCAAGTCTGGAAACTCAACCGGATGGTTAATGGGTGGAATAACACACCGGAAAATGGGAAATTTTAAGCGGGCACCAGTAGCTAAGCTCTGGGGCTGGGAGGATTTCAATGATTTTTTTGTCATCAGCATGACAACAGGAAGAGCTTTTTTCGGCTGAAGGTGATTTGTGGGGGATTTGGCTGGTTCGCAGCCCAGCAGTCGACTATTTCGGGCACAAACGCGATTCATGACTCTGCTAAAAAAACCCAAACCACAAATGCGCCTCAAAAATGGCACGCTGCAAAGGGAAGCGGGCACTCAGCGTTAAACCCTGGGTTGAAATCCAGGAAAAGTGATTTTTCTTTTTGGTGAAACCTTCAAATGAAACACTAGTTCTCTTTTTGTAGAAGCATCCATCAATCGATGATGTTTATTTACATCATTTGAAGCCAAATAACGCTACAGCCAGTATGGGGGTGGGATTAGCCACCAGGATTTTCAGGTCCAAACCGAGAGAAACAGAAAAAAAAACCCCAAACACATGAAAGAGTAATTGTAATTTTTGTCATTATCGTCTAAAGAGGTGAGAAAATAATTTGGGTCTAAGCCTTAAGGAGACACTGTGGTACCGCTGAGGCAGCAAACCGTCACGGGGATGAGGTGGGCTCTTCTGGAGCCCAAGATTTTTACATTTTGCAGAAGAGGAAAAACAAAGAGCACACACCTGGGGTTTGGGGCAGATGAGGTCAAACACAGACCTGAACGCAATCCTTCCGCCCTTTTCAGCCGAGGTTCCCCAAACCACCTTCCATTCAGCCACCTCTCCTGAATTAACGTTTTGTTACGTACAAAAAAACCCCGACCTACGAGCTGAGAAGCCAGTTTGGGGCTTATTTTAGCTCTCCTTCAAGAGCTGACCAGCACAAGGTTGGAAGAAGCATCATCCACCTCAATCTCATGTTAATTTATCCCCAGTGGAGCTCCTTGCAGCGCTTACCCCCCATCCCCACCTCCTTGGACCCCTCTGCTCTCCCCGAAGCACCGTGAGCACCAATGGCACCAGC